ATGTATATGTATATATGAAGATTATCAGTAGTATATATAGATATATATAAAAAATGCTCCGTATAAACAAACAAACAGATAAACAAACTTAGTTCTATGTTAAATTGTCATTTATTCAAGAAGAGAATGTAAAAACAATTCAAATTATACTTGACATGTTCATCTGGTTTACTTATTTTGTTATAAAAGTCTTGTAACTATTAATATCAGAAGGGGGTTTTGTAAAGATTTTAATATAATTTCAATGGTTGAGATTATGAGTCATTTGAAGTTAGATCATCATGGAGAATATGAGAGTACTGGACGGCTGTTCTGTTCTATTGTGGGACTTTTCAGCAGTGCGCATCCACGATCCCGCCTTACGGGATTCGAACCCAGGAACTACTGGTCTCGCACGGAAGCACTTAACCACTAAACCACTGAGCTGGCAGGCATCTAACGGTGTTAATGTTTAACTTTAACTAATCCACAAAATTGAGCAACACATCCACCATTGTCATCAGTGAGTTACTCCTTGACAACTGACCCGTTTGAACTCCACTGGTCACTTGATATTAATTGCTTGAATATTTCGATTGATGTTTAGGACTGTATTTGATCGGTCTCTTATTGGCATATATGTATCGTTTACAGATTTTCTTGATATTGGATTCATTCATAAGCATTCTAAGTAAAGATAGATGATGATGATGATGTTAGCAATGTAATCCAAGAGGTGTACTTTGCCCTATTTGGCATTTGTCAGCTGGATACACATATGCCAATAAGAGGCTGAACAATTGCAGTTCTAAACAACAATGAAAATATTCAAGTAAACAATAGCAAGTGAATTTAAAACTTCACTCTATTGCACAAGCAAATGACCATCAAAAATCAGTAACGAAGTGGATAACACGATGGAGTTTGAAAAGAACGATACAGGGTTCTGATCCAGGAGTGAACATCAACTCTGAGGTGCAGGTACTTCCAGCTAACGAGTCTCAAGTAGGATGAAACGCGAAACAAACTGCATTCCACTGCTAACCAGGAACATGAATTATACAACCTTAGAACTATGACAAATCAATGACGTTTGACCAGTATGAGCAGCCTAGCGTCCCTATTGGACCGTTTTTCTCCCAGACCTGCCAGTTGAGTCCAGAACACAAATCTAAACTTCTTTAATATGAATCATGTATTTCAAACAAACTGGGTTTACATTCAAACTAAACAGACCATATCGTACCATAAAATAGAAAACAACATTTGTACAAGATCTAGCCAAAGGTGGTTGTGAATGTTAGAGACTGTAATTAATAGACTCAAGAACGGTAAATAGTATAGTAATAGTCTATGGGTCAAAATAAACCTTATAATAAGAGGAGTATAGATATATATAGTCTAATTACTGAACAGTTATACATTAAGAATAGTTCTCAGAAGTTACCTGTAATTTAATCTTCACTAGGATATAACATCATCACCTGATGATGTTAATTAGTAAAACAATGAAAGTTCATTAATTAAACCAATTCAAATCAGACATCTCTACATAAAAACTTGAAAATGCTTTAACAAGATCATTTCATTTAATAGAAACTAAACTATTTTTGTATATCAGAACGGATTTTGTGGAGATTTTAGTAATTTCAGTAGTTGAAATCATGGGTTAATTGAAGTTAGACCACCATGGAAAACCTGGAAGCATTGGACGGCCGCTTCGTCCTTGTATGGGACTCTTCAGCAGTGCGCATCTATGATCCCGTACCCCGTTTGATGCCAACCAGCTCAGTGGTCTAACGGTTAAGTGCTTGTGCATCAGACTGATAGGTTATGGGTTCGGATTTTGCTGGGGGGGGGGCGGGATCGTGGATGTTCACTACCGAGGAGTCCCGCAGTTGTACGAAAAGGCCATCCAGTGCTTCTAGGTTTTCATTGGTGATCTAGCTTTAATTGACTCACGATTTCAACTATTGATATTCTTGTTTTAATAAATTTTGATTAGTGAAAACAATACGGTTCATCAAAATACATAGGAAGTAAAAACCAGTCCTTGTATGGGACTCCCCAGTAGTGAGCATCCACGGCCACACTCACAGGACTCGAACCCAAGGCCTTTGGTCTCACACGCGAATGCTTAGCATTTAGACCACTGAGCCGGTATCCAACACTGCTAATATCTAACTTCAACCAATCCACAAAATTGCGCCAACATCCACCATTGTCTTTAATGAGTTACTGCCTCATAACAGATACGGATTGGACTCCACCGATCATGGTTGTCCATTGCTTCCAGGTTTTCTATGATGATTTAGCTTTAAGCGACTCATGAATTCAACTATTAACAATCACTTCAATCTCCACAAAACCCTATTCTGATCATATTTTATGTTGAGTGGTTTGTATATAATTATGTCATTTTGTCAGGTAAAATGATCCATATTGTGGTGAACACTTATTATTATTCTAACTTTTGATCTCTATTCATTGGACTTTTATTTGTAGTCAATGCATTCATTTGTTTCTTGACTAGTTATTACATGGCTACATTGGTCATATCACTTCAAGTGCATGATCTTAATCAATACAACAGATATAACTATTTGTTCGTTATAATAGTGTTACCTTTCATGAATGATATCACTGACAGAATCATAGAATATCAGAAAGGATTATATTACAATTCAAAACATTATTACATTAAGCTTTAATATCATTGAGAATCAAACCTAGGAATTCTGATTCTCCTAATAAGTATGATGTCTTGATTTTAATAGGAATCCTAAAGGTAAACGGAAAAGAGGAAGTCTGAATAACACAATACGGCAGGAATTGGAAGCAGACATGAAAAGAATGAATAACAACTGGAACCAACCGGAAAGTATTGTCCAAGATAGGGTTTGATGGAGAGTACTGATCATCGGCCTATGCTCCTCCGGAAGGGGTAACAGGCGTGAGCAAGTAAGCGAAAGCTTGATTTAAATAGATTGAAATTTGATCAATCGCACACACGCTGGTTCACAACCCAGGCACTTGTTGATGATCGCCAACCGGTACGACACCAAGGTTCTGTGGTTGATGCCGATTATCTACAGTTACTAATCGGTTTACATACCTTATACGCCATCAAACTAAGTGTTGAATCTATCTAATTTTATATTATTAAACAATGCTAGATCACACAACTTTAGAAACAATATATTTGTCTGTCCTATCCAACTGCATTCTAATTAATACCTCACACTATCTTATGACTAAAGCTTTGAAAGAGTTAAACATTTCACAACATTATGATTCAGTGAATCATTTTAGGGTCTCTACTATTCAATACTTATCATATTTTCTTATATTCTAGTTCTTATGGTAGTAGGAGATATATCGATCTCGTTCGGTCAAGTCAAATCTAATGAAATAAACCACTGAAAACTAAGATGAAGTGGATACCTCAATAGTGTGCATACATGAACGCTGATTGATCGAAGTTAAACCTGTACTTCAATGGTTCCTGACTCAGTGATCGGAGGTTAAACACTTTAGTTCAAGACTGGAGGCCTTGGGTTCTATCCCTGGCGGTGGGATCGTGGATGAACACTTTTGAAGATTCCCATACTAGCCACTAGCTTGTGCAATAAAGTGAAATTTAAATTCATTTTGTATTGTTTGTTTGAATCTTCCCATTGATGTTTAGAAGTGCTAATGATCGCTCTCTTTTAGAATATGTGGATCTTGTGTGCATTGCATCGTTGTTGCCTTAAATCAAAGGCATTATAAGAAGAGATGAATAGAGGCTAGCAATGGATTTCGGGATGTGATCTTCTTCCTAGTTAGAACTCATCAACTGGTACTGAATTCGAGTCCAGGAGTGAACATCACTTCTATGATGCAGGTACATCCAACTGATGTGCCATTATCCATCTCTACTAATGACTTTTTTGGTAAGTACCAAAATCAATATAAATTTATTTTACTGACATGTTTTTGTTTGATTACACATTAGTGTTTACCAGACTGTATACAACCATCCAATGAGAAAGTAGAGATGTCCGTCAAGTTATGAGTTATGAGTTAAAAATCATCATTATCATGCTTACGATAAAGTATGCAGAATATGAGTTTGGCTTAGAGTAGACTTGTGAATGCATACTATTGTGAAGAATTATGGTACCGTTCAATCTTAGCAAATTTCTTTCATAAATTGGTGTAAACAATGTACTGGAATAACTGAAGTCGACTCAAATGAAAACTATACGATCCCTTCAGCATTATAGATAGGTTGCATGAAACCTGTACCTACTTCTTTAGTCCAGATAGCGGGCTCGTTTCATTCTAGGAATTCCTGAGGATTTCTGGAAGCATGCATTCATATCAAGTGACTCATTAAGTCAACTATTAAATTGGAAAATGTATTGCAATGAGGAATGTTATTTTCATTTGGTCTTTAGTGCTAATCAAATCCAATTGTCAGGTAGACACTAGTTTCAATAACTCAAAATCGTATACACTATGTTCTCACATTAGGTGATTAAAGGCAATCAGTAAAAATCCTAGTCTAACATACATCTAGTGCAAACTGAAAATATACATTAGGCATTGTTCTCAGTAGTGAGGGAAATCATCTTTCTTATCTGATTCAAACAAAAATCATCTAGTGTCATATTCAAATAAATCATTATGATACAATTCTTAGTGGTTCTGGGTTCGAATCCCATGGGTGGGATCGTGGATACACACTTCTGAGAAGTTTCATAATAGGACGAAACGACTGTTTAATGCTTCCAAGTTTTCAATAATGGTCTAGCTTAGATCAACTCATGAATTAAACAACTAAAATTACTAAAATCTTCACAACCCTCCCCCTCCCTTCTGATAATCATTCCCAGTTGACTTGAAAGCTCATTTGTACCATCATTAACCTAATGACTATAAATACACCTATTACTGATATGTTTCAAACAATCAGATACTTACAATGTCGAATGTTTATAACCATCATTATTAACTTGTAAAATACATATACTTACTTGATCTTGAATCATTCGATACTTTACTAGAGGATAGTTTATTAATAGAATATTTATGCTCTTTCATGGCAACAAATAATTAACAGATTCAATTATTAATATTTTGATAAGCAATCAGTGTAAACACTTAATTTATACTTTCACTCAATTGTCATTATTAGGTTAGAAACAAAGATTCGGTCAGTTAATCATTCAGTCAATAGACGAAGAGGGGGGGAGGGTAGAAGGGTAAATATTGATATCCTTTTTTAATTTAGGGGAATAAAGAGGGGGGAAATTTATCTTCATGCATGTTTGTCTGTTGTTTTTGTTTGTTTGTTTTGTGTTGTTGCTGTTGTTGTTTTTTGTTGTTTGTTTTTTTTAACATGATGCTTGAAAGTCAGTTGAAAAATGTAACTACACTATGTCAGGACTATAATGTATATCCAATCATGAAGTGATTTAATGTGTTTTGTTTTAATCACAACTTTCATAGAGGGGAATGTATTCCATTGAATAAAGTCAGAGAAAATTCCATAATTTTATATTTCCGATTGGTAGATTTTTTTATGAAGAAGTAACAAAGATTAGAAAGGGAGAGAGTGAAAAAAGTTATGAAATGATTATTTGAATAGGTAATATTGTATACCTGAGACAGTCAATTGATAAACCGAATGAAGTTAATAGTTGAATTCATGAGTCCATTGAAACTAGACCACTATGGACAAATTGGAAGCACTGGAAAGCCGTTTCGTCCTATTGTGGGACTCCTCAGCAGTGTGTATCTTATGGTCCTGATTCACGAGATTCGAAATCAGGACCTATCAGAATCAACTTAGTAACATAATAAATATGTTATTCTTTATTGGTAACTTACAATCATATGGTACATACAAGTAGTTTTAGGTAATACTAGTTAAGATGATAAAAATCTGCAATATTGTATGTTTAATTATATCAAGGAATTATTGACAGGAAATATGAAACCTTTTAAAACTTACTTACTTACGCCTGTTGCACCTCATGGAAGAGCATAAGCAACCAACCAGCAGTCGCCATCCAACTCTTCGACAATCCATTCCAGTTGCTATTCCCTCTTTTCATGTCTACTTCGAATTTACGACGTAGTGTGTTTTTCGGCCTTCCTTTTTTTCATTTCCTTCAGGGATTTCAGGTAAGTGTTTGCCTCATGATGCCGTTTGGTGATTTCCGTAATGTATATCCTATCCACTCCCAACGTCTTTTCCTAATTTCCTTTTCAGATGGAAGCTGGTTTATCCCCTCTCATAGTAGGCTGTTGCTGATGCTGTCCGGTCAATTAACATTCAGTATCTCATGTAGAAAACTGGTTGTAGTAGTTCTCCACGTTTCAGCTCCATACAGTAGGACTGTCTTGACGTCCGTATTGAATATTCTGAGGTTGATATTAGTTGACAGTTATTTTAAGTTCCCTATATTCTTCAATTATAAGAATGCGGCCTTTACCAATCCTTGCCTTTACGTCTGCATCAGGTCCTCCTTGTTGATTGATGATGCTACCCAGATATGTGAAACATGTGAACTTTTAAATGAAGCATTTTTTAGTTCAAAATTTTTGGGGATTGTTGACTTTTGTAATTTTAATAGTTTAAAGTGTCAACTATTCTTAGATTAACCTTAAGACTACTAAGCGCGCTTCTAATGGTGGACATGTCTAACTTCATTTGCCCACTAGTAACTAGCTTCAAGACGTAACTCCTAAAGTTCCTGTGAAAAGCTGTGACTGGTAGATTTTTGCCATATAGGATGTGAGTCAGTTTTCCCCCATGGACAATAGTTGAGGGTTGCATAGTATCGTAAATTTATTGAAGTTAGACAAGTACACCATTGGATGCCGGCTAATGGGTCTAGAGATTAGGCATTCACATACAAGACCTAGGACCTTAAGTTTGATTGTTAAATGCGGGGTGGTGGATTTAGATTTCCACGAAGTCCCATACAAGAAAGAAACGGCCACCCACTGCTTCCTAGTTTCCAATAGTGGTCTAGTTAAGATCAGTTCAATCTTTAAACTATGATAATTACGAAATTCAACAACCGCCAAAACTTTTTAAACTAAAAACTGCTTCATTTAAACGTTCACAAGTTCAATGAATAATAAGTGAAGTTTCTTAAAACGTTTCATATTTTCTGTTAATAGGTCCCTGAAATAATCAAACATGCAGTATTGTAGAATCTATAATCCGTTCGTGATTTAAACTCTGAAAATCCCAAAATCTCAACAAATCTCCCTATAAAATAGCTTTTTGAGGGATTGAAGTTATAAATGTAATTGTTTGGGATCATAAACCGATTGATGTTAGACCACCATTGAAAACCTGCAAGCACTGGATGGCTGTTGCGAGACTCCTCAGCAGTGCGTATTCACGATTCCGTCTAGCGATATTCAAACCCAGGACTTATCGGTCTTTTGGCATTATAGATTATCTCAGTTCATACTCAACGTAGTTACGTGAAATGAATTCACTTAATTAATACATTTTAATTCCTGTTGGGGACATGGGTGAATGATAGCCCAAATGTGTTTGGACATGTCAAGCGATGTTTCAAAAACCAGACAATTGCATATAGTCTCAGGGTCGAGTGTAAAGTGAGAGATTGTGTCTGAGGTATGGTATGGGAGGAAGTGAAGTAGCTCAAATCAACGCTCTTAGTCTACATATCCTCGTCTAGAACAAAGCGACAAATATATACATACTTCTGATTTATGTACATAATGATTCAATCTTAGTCAATACACCATACGTATATACCGCAAATATATTATATCTAGGCAAGCGATTGTACCGACTATTGAAGAATCCGTCTAATGCCACTTAGTTTTCACTGTACGTTTGCGACGAACATTGATTTGTTGTGATAGATAGTTATTTTTAATGATGCAAATTATTCTGTTTCTTGTTTAGTACCTACCAGTGGAAACTAGGACGAATGTCATATCTTATATGAGACTTATCAACCAAATGTACCTGGATTCCAGTGTTGATGTTCACAATGAGACTGAAAATTTGTACGCATGATTAATGAGTCACAATAGGCGCAGGACTACTCAATATTACTCAGTAGTCTAATCGCCTAATTTGTCATCTTTCGATTTTTAGGTTAAATATTAATATTGGGATGCTTTGCACACTAAAGCTCCAAATAGAACGAAAATATTTTCCTATATTTCACTAATTAATACATTTCAAATATGCATATCGCTTACGTTGGACAATTAGGTATTGAATTCCCTAAGAATATTGGAATGGAAACATCCTTATTATAATATTAAGTTATTCAATAAAAAGAATATCTTCTTTTATTAATGATACGTCCGCTCCGTTTCATCCAGAATTAGGTGGTACCTTCACTGTGCGACCTTTGTTATTACCTGTGCTCAGTGGCAAACTAGATAAGATTTAGTGTCGATTCGTTTGCTATATATAATCTGAAAAGACAGAATTAAGCATTTGATACTGTAGTGTGTGCTACTGATCTCGACAGATATAAGTAGAATATATCATCAGTCGAAAGTCTAATGCCTGGTGGCAGAAGGTTAAGAAGATCGAAGAAAAGAGAACGAGAACAAAGAATGATCGGTATATAAATGAAAGAGCGATCAATTCTGAGACGATTGATTGACATTTTGCAAATGAATTATTTATTGTATGGTTCTCGAATTTTACAAAGATGTTCTGTAATTTTGTGTTCGAATAGATTCGATCGTCCCCACTTGTATGTTCATTTACTACGATACGTTTAACGCTCATTCTTACTCTTTGGTCATAAAAAATAATTTTCTGTTATATTGTTAGGCGTTTTGAGCAGTTCATCTCAGTTCAGTTACCCGTTCAACGAAGTTGGGAAGCCTCATGGCTCTTCGGGTAGAGAAGAGTTTTGAAAAGGCAGTGCGACTGGACACTGAAGAATATATGTATACAGAGTTTATGATATTAGTGGTATGGGTAATTAACTTGGCCCGCACTACGTAGTGTAGACGTATTCTTAATGACCTATACTACACTTTTTCTATCACTTTTGGGAGTTTCTATGCAAACCAAACGCGCTGATGATTTACTATTCTGTTCATCATTTGAGTAACGTGGAAACTATCCTTAGGTATACTCCATATGCATATATTCGAATGCAGGTATTAAAGATACAAACATCCCAGTGATATGCATATTGACGTAGATGGGCGCGGATGCTAATACGCTGTACTTGTAATTATAGGAAGCGTAAGCATGTCCACACCTCCTACAAATACACGTAAGTATAGAAGTTTCCGCTCTCAAGTATACGATACACGCATACGTGGAATACGTAAGCCAAGGCCCATACACTCCATAGTATGCACATAGGCATAGATGCGAATGCCACAGGCCCCCAATTCCAGTAGCGTTTCCACTGAATGAATATCGAGTATTCAAATCAGTATGTAAGTCGTCATAGACGATGTGCTCACTTCGCGTTCTTACTACAAATCGATTTAATACCATCCACTGTACACTATTTGCGGCACAGCTTATAATCCACGCTCTCACCTGCCCCTAACACACCTTATGAGCCATTCTAGACTTGTTTTTTCAAACACCAAAAAGAAAATTTTCTCCAATGCCTCAGTCGTACTTCAAGTTTAAGTCGACCTCTCTTCTCATGTAATCAAGGTTAAGAGAGATTGGATGATTATCCCAATTTTCATCCGACTTCGAAGTGGTTAGTCATTTCGGTCTCCACTGTGTCGCTTGTCTTAGTTCATATGGAAAATATCACCTATTATCCAGATAACACTACGTGGAAGTACAAGTAAGACTTTGCCCCCCCTCGTTTTGAGCAGTGTACAAAGGTAATTTTACTGCTACTACGACATTATATTTGAATTTAGAACATATCACGCTCTTGATTCCAACTAGCTTGTCTATACGGTATACTTTTACCAATTTTTCTACTCTAAATTTTCATTCATGCTACAACATGATCAAAACAACCTTACTGAGTGATCTATTCTGTTGTTGAAGCAATCAGTACAAAGCAATAAATCAATTCACATTGTATCCGATTATTACATAACGAATAAACTTATTAAGATTCATGTTTGGTTCGTCGACATTACAATCTCATCCATTCGATTTAAAATCAGTTTACTTTTAAAGATCTTATAAGCCTGAAGGTGATTCTCTAATCATAACCACATTGTCATATCATTACTAAGGTGAACACTGATTGTATCGTCAATGAAATGGCGCCTACGAACGAAGATGCATTGGTTATAGCTGTACCTTGTAAAGTGACTACCTATAAACTCTTCAGTTAGTAATATAAATGATATATTTCGATGTCACAAGATATGCATGAATGAATAGTTTTTCTTTATCGATTAGTTCACAAACACTCTTAATTAGATCAAGTACGCTCAACAAATGCCCTGGCACGACCGATAGTGAGGAGATTCAGCTCTCCCTTTCTAAATGCTCTCACATGGCCACGCGTATACAACCATTGATAGGGAAGTCCTACTCGCTGTCTTTTATTGACGGTGTTTACGAAATTGAGAAAACGAAAAGCGAATGTCCGACGTTTTAACATGGTTTGTGGATACGGAGGATCTACCTAGGGGAGTTGGAAAATCCTGATTCCAAACCAATGGTGAATATGGGTTCCAGGATCCTGAAGGAACTAATTGAGTATGAACCTATTGTTGGTCACCGACTACCATGAGACTGCACCTCTTTACGTTGTTCCACTGACTTGCAGGTCAGACCTTTAGGTCGAAGGCTCCGAATGTAGCCCCTTAAGAAAACCACCTGGTTCGGTTTGGGTGCTCGGGAAGTATGATAGCCTACACACAAATCGAGTGATTTGTGTGATGCACATGTATTCGGTACTTCGTTTAGAACTTATTTTGATAATAAACTCTATTTTAAATATCATTGATAATATTTTGTATTGCTATACAATCACAGTGTCTCCCCATTACATCCACCGTAATTATTCAATTATCAAAAATATTTGTTTTACATTTCTATATTTTAATCTTGAATATTTTTGTAAAACAATACGTTATAAACTAGGACATAGTGAACCAATGACTGAATAGACAAGGAACTCAGCTTCCAATCAACAATGGTTTTAGTTTCAAAACCCACTAATTTATCTACACCGGCTTCGACAGCCCATAATATTAACAAACAGTGACAACTCAAAACAGATTGCACAAGTTTATACTTAATGAACAAATGGTATTTTCTTTCAATTCAAAATTTGTTACCATCATAAGAGAACTCGGAAATGTTAATATTAACTTATTATTCATGCGTTTCAAATAAACAATCACTATAAGCCTTGTAACAGTGATAAGTTATTTTTCACAGAAATTAGATTTAATCAACACGATTTCTCTATAATACGTTATGTTAAATATCTTTTAAGAGGACCAGTTGGCAATCAGTGTCCGTATGTATGGTATGTGTTTTACACCTTCGAAGTGCAAAGTACTTCTACAAGACTGGCAGGATTCTAATCCTGTACTCACCCTGGATGGTGAGCAGGTAGAAATAGTCGGGAAGTTCGTGTATCTGGGTAGTTGCATGAGTGCTGCTGGTGGTGGCGTGAGTGATGAGATCAGTGAACGTATAGTGAAAGCCAGAGTGGCTTATGCCAGTCTGGGCCATCTTTGGCGCCTTCGTGATGTTAGCCTGGCTGTAAAAGGTCGGATCTACAACGCGTCGGTGAGAGCAGTTCTGCTCTATGCTTGTGAAACCGGGCCTCTCCGAGTTGACGACGTTAGACGACTCTGTGTTTGATCATCGTTGTCTCCAAAGGATCGCTGACATTCGGTGGCAACGCCATGTTAGTAATGCAGAGGTTCGGCATCGTATGTTCGGGCACAGAGACGACAATCCAATTGGCGTCACAATCTTGCAACACCAACTTCGGTGGATTGAACATGTTCTACGAATGTCGTCCCAGAGAATTCCACGTCGTGCATGATTTGCCGATACTGGGACTGGTTGGGAAAAGTGGAGAGGTGGTCAGTATATGACATGGTGTCGGGGTATGAAAGCTGTAAAGGGCTGGGTTGTGTTGGTCCTTCACGACTCCCTGGCTGGGGTCCGAGAGATGGTGCAACACAGTGACTAGAAACGTTATCAAATATGGCTCGGAATAGAAACCAGTAGCAATCCTGCTGTTACCTTCTTCTACTTTCTTCATAAAACGTGGTTGAATCTTCCTTAACTGAAAGATTTTTTCTGATTGTACCTTTTCGTTTCCCCGATTATTATTATTATTACACCACCTTACACTAATCTATTCGTTATTGTTTTTTTGCGCTCCTTACCTCCGTTTTTTTCTTCTCTTCAAATTCCTATTGTTTTGTATAGCGCATATATATATGGTGCCCTCTTGTATCAATATTTATGTGATCAAATAAATAAATTTAAGAGGATTTGTAAAATATTTATAAGAGAAGCACATATAAAGAATAACGTAACAATAGTGTAACAAAAGCAATCACGATCCGCTCAACTCATATATCTACAGACGACTAAATGAACACATATCGTCAGTTAGTGAAACTCTCATATTGATTTCCATTCGTTGTGTTAATGTGATAGCTACGATCAATTCATATTTGTGCCATGTTTGTCGATGTTCACAACTACCTGATAATTCATTAACTAAACGAAAAAATATATATGTGAAATAGTTCCTGACACATTTCTTTATACACTATTGATATTACGAACCGACCAAATTTAAACAACTATTGAAATCCTGGAAGCACTGGACAACCGTTTCGTCTTAGTACGGGACTTCTCAGCAGTTCGTGCCCACGACCTCTCCACTGGGGACCGGCCACAGGACCTTCAGTTTCACGCAAGAAAACTTGGCTTCCAAGCTACTAAGCAGGCATCTAGTTGTTTGTAGGTCTAAATCTAGTCAGTTTGAGATATTGTGTAACCATCTTTCATCCTAGAATGAAACAACTGTCTAGTTTTTCATGATTCCCAATGGATACCTTAGGTCAGCTTGTAATGTCTATAATGTTCATGTCATATCTAGAACTTTAGATCCTTAATATGCCGCGTATAACTTCAGCACTCGAACGCTAGAACCCTCTCAAGTCGCGAATGAGAAGAAAAATAAGAGGTGTGCTATTGCAAACAGTGTTAATTATGGTACAAAACAGTCAGGTATTTATAGTCTTTAGTAAAAAACGAAATCATCATTATAGTCCTCCAATCCGCATTTGTTCAATAGGGAAGCTCCACGTAGGGATTCTGGAGCATTCTTCCAAAAGATGGTTGGATCAAATATCTTCAGATCTTTCTGAGATTCTTAGGGCTAATATCAGAAACAGTATTCAAATAATGCACTTGACAATATACAATCACAACTCTTCCAGAGATATTAGACGTAGAACTCACATTTGAATTAAACTTGACTAGCAGTGAAATCCAGTTTCATCCTATTTGGGACTCGCCAGTCAGTCAGCTGCAACGTAGGACCAAGAAAATATGTGCATCGGTTCAAGTTGCCATACCTCATTAGCACAACAAGATGAACACCGGATTCATAGAAGTAGTTAATTCAATGGTGGTAATATATAAAAAAGATTGTATATAAGGGCATAGCAGAGGAAGAAGGAATTAATTGGTAGAAAGAAAGATATAAGGCGATCCTAATCTCACAGTTTAAAGGAAGACAGAGAGTGTATACACCGACGCCATTGTGGTCGATTCTGAGTCATGTCACCAAGAGTCTCCAAACATTGGTTACGATAGTCACGCGGACAACAACCAAGTAGTCTGCATCTACCAACATGGCTCAGACCAGATGTTAGTGACTTCAGGCACCGATGCCACGTTTTGGTTTGGCTGCCCTTAACTTTCTTCCAATTATCTCCAACACCGGTTAGCGTTGCGCGTCGTGGTAATCGGTGTTCAGGCATACGCAACACGTGGCCCAACCATCTCAGTCGATGAAGATTCATAACCTCATCAACTGATTTACCATCATTCCCTAATGCCCTGCGTCTAACATCACTATTATTTACCCGGTGATCCCAGCAATATTTCTAAGGCATCTGTGGTCAAATACTTGTAGCTTATGAGTATCTTCGACTCTTGATGTCCATGTTTCGCAGCCGTATAGTAGAACGGAACGAACTGCCGCGCAGTATACTCGGATAGACGGATATCGCGCCTTCACCATAGATGACGTAAGTTGGCGAAAGCCAAACGAGCTTTTCGAATCCGTGCTGAGATTTCGTCAGACACCAACCCATTAGGGCTGATTAGACTTCCAAGATAAGTGAAGTTATCAACGCGTTCAACTACTTCACTCCCTATCCTTAGCTCAGGTGTTGACGCAGACCAGTCCTAAAGCAACAACTTGCATTTAGAGGGAGAGAAGTGCATCCCATGCATTCTGGGACTCGCCACCTCATTGCACAAGCAGATGACTATCAAGACTTAATAGCTAAGTGGATAGCGTGATGACGTTTAAACGAACGATACTGGGTTCAAGTCCCAGAGTGAACATCAACTCTGAGATGTATGTAAATCCAGCTGACGAGTCCAAGAATAGAAGTATTTACTGATTATTATTATTATTATTATTATTATTATTATTATTATTATTATTAACAATACATTTTTTATTAAATTAAATAACACAAAACCTGTTTCACATCTACATAAACATAAATACAACTAGAAGTAATTTATTAAACAATTCACATTTTAAAACATGATCTTCACTAGTTTAAATAGTGTATTACACTACATTTAACCAATAATCAGTAATACATTATAATTATTGTATTTTTCATCTAATTTATATTACATTAATGAAAGCTAACTATTCATTGATGGTTATTGATGAAAAGTTGATACGAAGGGAAAAGGTCATAAATACACACAAGAATATATCTATGACATATTATTCCTGTGAATGTAGTGCTCCGTCAACTTCCACCCATTCCAATGGGGAAAAAAAAATTCACCTTACCATCGACCACGTTTACTCCAATCTCTTGATTTCCAATTAAGTAATTTTGCATCAACACGTAAATTACGACGTTGCATAGCTTTTTGATGTGTTTGTATAAGATCACGTGATAAATAGATAACATGTTGTCCTTTCACATAGTATAATACATTTAAATGAGATAAGGTAGCAATTACATCATCTCGTTTAATACATGTTCTATCAACAATATCACTAAAATCAATATAGAATTGAAAGAGAAAAAAAAATAATAAAAGAAACACTATCAGACATGTTGTTTTGACACTTTCTTATTACTATGCATGAATACAAATAATAAACAGTTATAGTTTAAGTTTTCTATGTAATCAACTTGTGAATACTGAAAAACACATGTGTGAAAAATGTTTGAACGATGCTTATCTGTTATTTGCAATTATAGATACCCAACCGTTAACGCTACCATACCTTAACGTGGTGGCCACGCTTGTCTATCGTGATCAACTATTCGGGCTATACTGGCTAGAACAATCGTTCCTCAACGTCCTACCATGCCAGGCAGGTCGGTTGAAGAATGGTAAAACTAAAAGCAACAAACCCTAAGTCTGAAGGCGAAGTCGAACTGCTGACTGTACAGAGGTGTGACGGCAGTAAGGTGTTTCCTTCATAACAGTGATGCTACCTTCCCACAAGGAGGAGTGGGATTAGAAAAGGTCGATCCTGAAAATGCACACCTCGCCTTATCCCACGGATATCCGTCTCTGGCGGTAAGGTCTCAAAAAGTACGGAGCTAACACGAAAATTGCTCACAAAAATGTCGCGTGTGACCGGGCAGTTGTACCTTGGACACTGTGGTCACGCTCTCAGGTCACTAAGACCACCTCTAACCAAATTTCCTTTTCAGGTACTTCTAGAAGAACCCTTCCACGATGTGGGTAACCGAGAAGTGATAACCGCCCTCATACCTCTAACAGCACTCTGACTGATTTGCAATGATAAGGAAACATTTCTTTCACGACATTTCTTTTCATCATTGAATATATTTGATGTATGAATTCTATGGTAATCACCTTTAAGGTTTGCCAAAGAAAACAGTTAAGGGGGAAAAAGAAAATATGCAGAGTACAGCCCGCCACATACGTACATAGGTTTAAGTTGCCATAGTCAATTAACATAGTGGGATAAGATCATTTCAAATCAAATTCCAGAGTAGTAGAAGTAATAACAACATTAGTAGTAGTAGAAAATATTAGGCTTAGAAAAAGAAAACCCAAGGTATATGGCGATTTCTGGACCCATATTTAAAAAACAAAGAGTAAATGCAACTGAGCCATATCACACAAATTCTGTAACCATTTGTCACGATAATCACAGAGACCTCAATCAGATGGTAGGTCATCTACACGTGCTAACATGATTCAATTCAGTTGTCAATAACTTCACACCTTAGTATGATCTCTCTCCTAACTTTCTTTCAACTTACTCTTACATTAGTAGAATTGTGATACTCTCTTGAATTTCCCAATAATAAGATATGTAATATATATGTAAGCAAGTTCACATAATTAGTGAACATAACTAGTCAACTAAAACAAGAAAATTTTACACCAATAACTGAACATTTAAGAAAATTACGACCCAAACGTTCAAGTAAACCATTGCTTATTTAATGCTACTTATGTCTGTCGTTATAAGTAGTATACAACACCAATCAAAAGTGGAAGGCCTGGCAGCAGAAGGTTGGGAAGATCGAATCGAAGAGAATGAGAACAGAGAGTAATAGTTATGGTAATGAGAAAACGGTGACGTTTGAGACAATTGATGAGGGTTTCTCAAATGAAATATTGGATGTATTGTTTTCACATTTGACGAAAGAACTCTGTAATTTTGTATTAAAATACATTGGTTGTTTCCATCTATGTTCTCGTTCACTACAGTATTACCTAGCATAAAGGTTACATAAAGTCCTGTAGCTAATAAATCAAGAGTAGGGAGAGTCCGCTCTCCCCCTTGAAGTGCTTTCATATAGCTAAGTGTATAGTCATTATCAAGGAACTCTTATTCACTACCTTCTCGTGGAAGGGGCGTCATTTACGAAATTGAAAGGACGAAAAGATAATGTCTGGCGCTTTAACCGGGTTCGTGGGTAAGCAGTATCCACCTAGAGGAGTTTAAAATCTGATTCCGAATCAACGGGGCACATGGGATCCAGGATCCTTGGGGAACGAATGGTGTGTTAAACTATTTTTGGTAAATGGCCTTCCATGAGACCGCATCTTCTTACGTTACTCCATTTCCTTATGGATTAGACCTCTAGGTTAAAGGCTCGGGGAGTGGCCTCCTGAAAAAACTACCTGCTACGGTTTGGGCAACCGGGGATACCACAGTCCTCACAAAAGGTTTGTGAGGCGCCTATATATATATTGCTGACCCTTTGCACCAATGTTTGTGTTTAAATAAATAGACAAAACTGAAAGAGGTAACAAAGATGTAAATTACCCTATTGAAAATTTATTGTCTGAACATTAATGACCGTGATTAGGAATCAAGGTTAAAATTTATTTCAATTAGTTACTTTAAATGGAAGTTATAAGAGTTAAGTACTTTCAATAAATTTACGAGTTAACACTCATTTTCTTTCTTGTTGGACGATACTTTAACTCATTTGAAGTATCCAGGTACTATAATCCTGTTTCATTAAGATGTTAGAATAGTGAACTCTCTTGAATACGAGTAACGATCAAATGCGAAACACTTTATGTTATTGAACTAAATGACTTGGTTAAATCAACAACTTCGCGATGAAAATCTACGACTGAGATTGGGAACAAAAAGATTATCTAGATTTTTCAAATTTACGTTGTTTGTCAAACAGGTAAAAGGTCAGATTGCTTTTGAGTAAGTGAAAACATTATCCATTAATCTGATAAGATTTAATTTCAGTTTTGAAAAAATATACCCTTCGATGATAGATGACATGGATAGTCGGCAATTATTCGATCAAGCATGTATGCGAAGCATTTCTTTTAAAAGACGAAACCATCAAGTGGATAATGTTTTCAGAAGTAACTTAAAGATGGTAAATTGTGCTAGAATATGAGGTCACAAATGTAGTCAAACCAAAAAACACTACTAGGTCATAAAGCCATAGATGTTTTGCTTGAGCTATATAGGTTTCCAAGTTGAGGTTTGAGTAGATAACCGTAAAAAAAGTTAGAGATTGATTGAACTGATTTAAAATCGATTCAGTGGCATCGGTGTATGGTCTTTACATCTTTGAGGTCCTGGAAACAGTATTACAACACAATTCCCATTTCTCAATTTCAATATCTCATTTTTAACACACCTTGTTTCTACGATACTTTAGAAGGATGGCAATACTTGCCTCAGACCCTACTTCATATATATTCGTACTTTTAGTCACACTAGTCAATAAGTAGTTTCCAGTAGGTTTAACGTCGATATTCCATTATCTCAGGAGTTAGTGTCGTTAATCTAAATGGTAACTAACAAAGTTACTTCATCCTATAACAACGTTTATTCAACATCACATCAAGTCGTTTTTCTCTACACTTCATCTTACAGTAAAGCCACGCTGAATGAATCTCAAAGCATCAATTAGTATAAATAAGGTTACAGATATTCAGACTGTTAACAATGATCTTCAGATGTACGTTGTAAACTGTCTTTTCTGGTTTTCACATACCAGGCTGCATGATACATCACAGAAAATTAGCGCGCAATGCTCACTGGTGTTAGGGATAATTTGAAGAAAGTTATTGGCAGCCAAACCAAAACGTGGCATCAGTGCTTGAAGTCACTAACATCTGGTCTGATCTGTGTTGGTAGATGCAGACTACTTGGTTGGGATCGGTGTGACTATCGTAACCAATGGTTGGAGACTCTTGGTGACATGGCTCAGAATCGATCACAATGGTGTCGGTGTATACACTCTCTGTCTTCCCTTAAACTAAGAGATCAAAATCGCTTCATGTCTTTCTTTCTACGAACTAATTCTTTCTTCCTGTGTTATATCCTTATACACAATCTTTCTTTTATATACTACTACCTTTGATGTGACTACTTCTATGAATCCGGTGTTCATCTTGTTGTGTTAATGCGGTATGGCAACTTGGACTGATGCATATATGTGCCTGGTTCTACGTTGCAGCTGACTGACTGACTGAAGGCAAAGGCTATTACTACATTTCATCAACTCTTGAAATAATCTTTCATCAAAAAGAAGCTTCATATCCTTATCAAAGAAATCGAGCATGAGTTGGCATGTGCCTAATTTCGGCATCCATTTAGGCTTAACTACATAAACGAACATGAACTGGTGTGATTGAATTCCAAGAACTTTCACTAGAAAGAGGATATCTCCCAGTCTTTTTTCACTAATAACGACTAGTAACCGTAAGGTCTATTTGTGTCTATAGTTGCGTTAATGTCAACAAATATAAATAAATTAATGTCTAAATGTTTGATGTTAATGTTTAGTCAATGGTAACTAACATAAAGCCCGACACAAATGTACTTTAGCTTAATTTGCCATACCAAATCAGCGGGACAAAAGAAAGTTAACATAATGGATACCAAAGGAATTGAATATAATTGTAGCAGGGATGATAGTGAGAATGATTGACATTGGAAACATGGTTCGAAAAAACGACAGAGGGGCACGTGTGAGGAAATGCTGGGTCTCAAGATCTAGCTAAACAGGACATAAGGAACTATGAATTTGGGTTTCAATTGAAGTAATGTCCGTCAACTACCTACATCTGCAAGAGACGACATCTATGGAGTTGAATAAATAAAGTGTGAAGGCTATTTAGTTGTCTAAACCGCCGCCTGTAGCTCTTCTAGAGTTACTGCCGGTCCCAAGCCCAGGTAAAGGAAGAGGGTTAGGCATGGAGTCGACAACCCCATCCCGTAGAAAAAAGTCTTGCTACAAAAACATCGACCAGAATAAACAATTTAAACCATTTAAACTCTGCCATCCGAGTTGAAGGAAGAATTATGACGCCTCATGATGAAAGCCAATATTCTTCGGAAGTCACCAGGCCGAAGCCTCTTCTAACAACCAGAGCAAAAATTTTTTTAGGTACACAGAATGTTCGGACAATGTGGGAGACCGGGAAGACCAGTCAAATAGCAATGGAAATGAGGAGATACAACCTGACGGTTCTCGGAATTAGCGAAACCCATTGGACCCAAGCTGCACAGCAAAAGCT